TGAAGGATGGTTCTCCTGGTAGAGTCAGTCTGCTGAAGAGTCAAAGTATTGCGTGTCCCTCAGATCAACTAGGAGATTCAAGCCAGAAGTCTTTTGCTAGTTGGACCCCATTTGACCATCATCATCGTCATTATCATCATCAGTGTTGACACTGATGCTTCACTGCAGTATAACCATAGGGTTTGTCTATTTATATTTGAGGCCCTAGAGTAAAAAGAGAAAGAGTAGGAGAGGAAGAGGCCTAGTGCTGGCCTATGTCAAACATGCTCGGCTGCCTAAACATCCAAGCGCTCAGTCAGACAATCTAAAAAGAAACAGCACGAACGCCGCTGACATTGAGCAGCCACCATTTCTCGCAATCTCCCCAGCCAAGCGCAGAGGGGATGTCACGGCACACTGCACCAACAACACCCCAACTCTTCGTAATCTCGCTTACGCCCTTCTGCCAAATATACGTTGACCACCTCGTGGTTTATGCAATTCTGAAGGAGGCACGGGGAATAGCGCTAGTTTAGGTCTACGGTGCCTCGGTGTGCGTGGCACACAGCTGAGCCACCGCAGTCGATGGTCCTGGATGGTTTTCGCGATTGAAACACCTGCTGCACAACCAATTATCTCATCACTAATCCCTTGAAACCACCTGAAACCAGCAACGCTTCTGAGGCATCGGTGGTAAAGAAAACGGAAGACGCCTCACGTCATCTGTCCGTAGCCATACAACAACAACCCATACTGTAGCCTGGTTCACGCAACCCTTAAGTAGTATACCTTTGTGACGCCACTAGTGACGCAAATTGGCAAACGTGATTTGAGTCTTTGAGTCTGTTACAGCTAATACAACTACCGAGGTACGTGAAATTCTCCACAACCTCCAGTGACTCCCTTGAATTGTAGGGGGTGCTAAGACACTGTACGTTCTAAAGCATAGCTGCACTTTGTAGGTGCCGGGCACATGCCGAAAGATGGTATAACTGTGGTTAGTCTATCCAACAGGGGGCGTGCTTCATCTTGGTCCTCAATGATGAAGGCGATGTCGCTGACATACTCCAGATCAACAATTTTTCACCAACAACAATTTGAATACCGGGGTTTTTCAGACCTTCCAGTGTTCAAATCAATGGTTCATCGATGACAAAGTTGAATAAGACTGAAAAGAGTGGATATCCTTAACGTATACCACTGCTCATCACACTCCAAAATATGTGGATATAGGAACCGGATTAAGCCCACAAGCCTCCGAGAAACCCTGTGTTAAGCATGTGTTTTCAGGATAACCAACCGATCGGAACATAGGAACACCAAGATTATGGGTCGCCCTTACAAATGGCTTTGCTTTAACATCGGACGGAGTGTGATCGACACGGCCGACACTTGGTCGAATTCCTGCTCGACTCTCACGTCTAACAGTAAACTCATGCCACATCGGCCACAGCGTGGTGCCATCAGCCAGGTCGCCTTACTCGCTGCATATAGGACGGGTAAGCAAAAACACGCCATTGCCGACGCCTCTCCTCTTTCTCGTTCATATACTTTTCTTCCCCTCTTTACTCACCCCATTAATAACTCCCCTTGTGGGCCCAGCACTGATGTATCTCCAAATCAATCTTCAAGTCTAGACACCCAGTCTATTTGGCCGCCTTCAGCCTCCGCACTCTGAAGCAAACAGCAGAACAAGCTGCTCTTGCTCTCACACTGGACTCGCTTGGCACTGATGTGTGCTGTGTCTCGGAAACACGAATTCAAGATGCAAGCACAGTGATTGGGCTAACCACCCCGTCACTCTCCATTCGCTTCCGGCTGCGCACCTCTGGTGATGCAGAGGCTGCTGCGGTGGGATACGCACCGCAAGTGTGCACCGTCCCAAGTCACCGGGCGGAAGTATCCTTACTTGACTGGATACCCGTTCATAATCGACCCTATGCACTTCGTCTGGCAAAGTCTGTGAAGGATTCTCACAAGCGGAAAGTTGATCGATGTCTGTTTACCGTGTCTGCTTACTCCCCAACTAACTAGCTCCGACGCCGTAAAAGACAGGTTTTACGACGCCCTGAATGCCCAGTTGCGGCGAGCTAAAACCATAGATATCGTGCTGGTTGCCGGAGATCTGAATGCACAAGTGGGCAGGCTTAGCGTATCTGAGACTCAATTAGGAGGTTGACAGAGATTGGACGCGGTAGGTGCAAATAATGGGGAACGATTGCTTCATCTGTGTGCGGATCGCAGACTGTTTTTATGCAGCACTAACGTCCGAACTAGCCGAAGTTGTCTGGCCACATGGTGTCTCCTAATGACGTGCCGGTCACGAACTCAAATCGATGGTGTGAACCAATAGCTGACTGCCGGTCGTTTTGGAACACATTTGTGGAGTACCATCACACGCTCGTCTGGATTCGTTTATGCCTTCGTTTCCCAGGGTCGCGTGTGGTGCGGACAAAGCGGTTGGCAACTGGGAAACTTGTAGATCTGGATGTTAGGTGTGTTATGTTCTCTACTAATCAGTCAATCAACCTTATCAGTTACACACGAAATTGAGAAGACAAAAAGCCTTGAGGAAATTATACTGCGGCAACTGAACAGCCAATATCGAGATTCGAAGAATCAAGAATGGAATGGAACAAAACAGTCCAATGAAAGGCTGAAATAGAGAGAGAAAAATGTTGAGCAATATGTTCGTTAGGAGTGCCTCCTACCACCTCCCCTTTGAAGTCATTGTTCGTACGACTGGAGTTGTGGCTTCAGTTGCATTCGTATGACAGGCTTTCTGATCCGATCGGTCCATCTTCTGGGTGTACAACTTTTGGAAACTTCTGGTTCATTCATCGGCTCTGGAGATTTTGGCTTTTGAGCTAACTCAAATGTGTCGAGAAAAGTCTCCAGTGGAAGAACAGGGTCGAGTGTAGGTGCCGCTGGAAGATAGGAAGCGCGTAGCTGATTGGCATGACGGACCCAGACGGGGGAGCCTACATTTACCTCATAGACAACTCTTCAGGTACGGCGCACAATTATGCCTCGTGTCCACTTTTCAGCGCCACCACGATAGTCTTTCGCTAGCACAGATTGGCCGGGTATAGATATGTTCTTTGCAGCACCGTGATGTCGGTTGAACAGAACTTCCATATTTATGTTTCTACCGGTTGGCGAATGTGGTGTTGGATGGACGACGTCAACGGATAAGCGGACCTTCCGGTTCATAAGTACCTCCGCCGGGGACTTACCATGTGGAGCGTGAACATTTAATGTCGCCCTGTAACTCAGCAGAATTGTCTCGATGATTTCCGGGGTGGTCCTCTCCCTTTTGAGTTTTAGGAGTGCGCGTTTGAAAGTGTCCATAAATCTTTCCATTTGGTCGTTTGATTGTGGATGAAATGGTGGTGATCGCACGTGTTGTATGGCATTTTCTTGACAGCAATCGGAAAGTTTAGCGGAAGTGAATGCACTGCCGTTGTCGGAAACAATGATATTTGGAACTCCGAAGTGGCTAAACACATGTCGTATTTTGGAAATGGTAGCCTCAGCAGTAATATGGTTCATGCTAAACACTTCTGGCCATTTGCTATAAGCATCTACTAGAATGAGATATTGTTGGCCGTTGATTGGTCCCACAACATCAACATGGATTCGTGACCATGGGGTTTCTGGGACAGGCCATGAACATAATTCTGTTTTTCGAGAGGATTTCGCAGATAGTTGGCATTTGGAGCACTTGCGTACAAGTTCTTATAACTGCTTATCCATGCTCGGCCAGTAGACATAACTACGTGTTAACGCCTTCATGCGGTTAATACCGGGATGTCCAAAATGAAATTGTTTGAGGACATCACTCCGTAATTCCGGCGGCACAATTACTCGTTCTGCGAAGAGTAAACAACCATCAACCTCGGAAAGTGAGGATCGACGTTGGTAGAACGGTTGAAGTTGTTTATCGGAACATACTGCAGGCCATTGTGTGTGGTGAAAATGGAGTACATTTTGAAGTAACGGATCACGAGCAGTGGCGTCGCGAACCATGCCGGAAGTAACTGGGAGTGCACGGATTGTAGTAGCAAGCACTGCGTTAACTTCTGGTTCCACCGTTATCGAGGCAACAACAGAATCCTCGGGTTGTTGACGTCGAGAATCCATGAGTCTTGATAATGCATCAGCTTGTCCAATAGCATCAGTAGACTGGTACTTGATGGAGAAGTCATAGCCCAAAAGTATTGTAGCCCAACGTTGCAAACGGTTGGCTGTGTAAACAGGGGTGCCTTTCTTGGATCCGAAAACGGCGAGAAGGGGCTTATGGTCAGTGATGAGCGTGAAATGACGTCCATAGAGCATTTCGTGGAACTTCTTGATGGCGAAGATCATTGCTAAAGTTTCTTTTTCAATTTGACCATAGTTGCGCTCGGTAACTGTTAGGGATCTAGGTGCGTGGGCAATTGCTTTTTCGTTTCCGTTGGGGAAAACGTGAGAGATGACAGCTCCAATACCATAGTTGGATGCGTCTGAAACAACAGTAATGTCCAGGGCTGGATTGTAATGTGTGAGTAGTAGATCAGAGCTGAGAAATGACTTTACTTTGTCAAAAGCGAACTGGCACTGATGTGACCAGTTCCAAGGCACATCCTTTTTTAGAAGATGATTAAGTGGTTCACGGACACGGTGCATGTCTGACAAAAATGAACTGTAATGGCTTACTAAACCGAGAAAGGAGCGCGAGGTTGCTAAATTCGTCGGTGCTGACATTTGTTGTATGGCAGAAATATTTTCTGGGTCTGGATGACGACCATGTTCGTCAAAAATAAATCCAAGATATTTGATAGAAGTTAGAAAAAATGCGCACTTCTCTGCACGTAGGCGAAAACCATATTGTTGAATCCGTTCGAGTACGCAATGTAAACGATGCAGAAATTCTTCTTGACTAGAACCTGTAAGAATGATGTCATCCAAATAAGCAGCAACTCCTGATAGACCGTTTAGCATGGCATCCATTGTTTGTTGAAATATTGCTGGTGCAGATTTTACCCCAAACGGCAAACGGTTAAATTGAAACCGCGATGTGTGTTAATTGTCAGAAGTTCTTTGGAGTCATCAGAGACTTCTATCTGAAGGTAAGCATCAGCAAGATCCAGTTTTGCGAAACATCTTCCACCATTGAGCTTGGTGAACAGATCTTCTGGTACCGGCAATGGATATTGGTGAGAGTCTAACACGGCGTTTAATCCAGTGGAATAATCAGCACATATGCGCACCTTGCCATTTGCTTTTTTGATGACAACAGTGGGAGCTGCCCATGATGAATGGTTTACTGGCTGGATAACTCCGGATTGCTGGAGACGAACAAGTTCATTCTCCACAGTTGCGAGGGCAGCAAATGGCACGGGACGCTTCGGTCTGAAAATTGGTGTGAAAGCAGGTTGGAGTTTGGGACTTGCCTTGGTTTTGGTACAGCATCCAAGGCCACTTTGGAAGACATCGTTGAATGTCTGAGGAGGATGAAAATTTCAGAGTACTGCACACAGATGATAAAGGTACACGGAAAAGGTCAAGTTTCTCGATCCAATCGAGTGCGAGTATGTTTAATTTCGGACAATCCTTGCCTTGCACCCACAAAGTGTAAGGTCATGCTGGTGAACGTGCAGTCACTGAGCACGCCACTTAGAACCCAGGGGAGGCATTCGAAGTTGTGAAACATTTTCCTTATTTTTAAACTTTCATTGGCTCTGCTTCTAGTGTGATAGCTGAGGTCGGTACACGAATCTGGAAGTCTTGGGTCGCGTTGGATAATTCGAGACACCTATGGCGCCAAAGCGGTGCATCCCTGAATCTCGAAGGACGTGTGTGCCAGCCTACAGTATGAACTGTCAGGTTGTATAGCTGTGAGATTCGGCTTGTTCGAGCAGCGGGACTGAGACGCCTTCAGATGTTCGAAAATCACTATCTCAGGACCATAGCGCGTGTAGGCTGGTGTCGGCGCATCCATAATGAGGCAATTAGAAAACGAGTTTTCGGTTGTGTGACGGGTGCATCCATTGAAGAGTGTGTCCAGCACCAGCAGTTGCGTTGGTTAGTACGTGTTGCGTATGCATAACCATTGTTTACCGAGGAAAGTGCTTTTTCCATGTCCAATTCAGAGTGACGGTAGCAGAGAGGTGGCCAACCCTTGACCTGACAGACGGATATGAAAGAGATTACGAAACGTTCGGGTGTTATCGGTGCGACTTGCCTTCCAGAATGGGGACCGAGTGATCCCCATTGTGCTGGGTCAGAGACACTGCAAAACATAGCTGCAAATCGATATCAGTGGTTTTGTCACTTTTTATCCAGATTACCCAAATGAGGTGGGGATACGTCGGAATGATTGCAGTAAGCCGACACTAAGTTTTTTCCCAGTCCACCTTCATTGTTTTCTTCACAATAGGGCTTTCAAATAAACGGCTGTACAGCAGCTAAGCGTCGACGATGAACACTGATGTCATGGTGTCGATGATGATGATTTTTCACAAGTCAAGGTTTCGCGTATCAGCTTAAGATGACGAAATATTGGCGACGCTAGAAGCCGTATCACAACAGGAGTCAAAAGAACATTTTTATGGTTACTACATTCACCGCGGGTACCCTTTTCGGAAATGGATACTAGTATCAATGCACCTCAGTCTTCTGGGGCGGTCTCTTTCTTCCAGTTTGACGGGCATCGGCTTAGTAACCCACCCTCATCCTTAAACAGAACAAGTGGGAGGTCGTAAAGTCCAGCAACACGATGGCGCTTGAGTAGAGGTTGGAATTGACTCCATATTCACAATTCACCCTTCTGTTTAAGGCTAAGATTCCGGGTTGGAGGTAGCAGGTTGCCAACGGGATCGCTGTTCGAGGTCCTGTGCCCGACAGTTCAAACGTTATTTTGCTGGATATCAGAGACCCATTTTGGTTCATGATAATCTCGCTGACAAACGGCTTCTGAGGACCAATCCGTTTGATCAAGTGGGACAGGTATTTCCAGTATTTTATGCATCTTGCATTTTTCGGTCTTTCTGGTGTGCCAAGCTTTTCGTCTACACGTACACTCAGTTTCAATTGACGTCGGATGATGCATCGGATGGAGTTTTGGTTGCAGCCAGGGAGAATCTGTCGCTGGAGCTGCATCAAATACATGGTTATATCAGAGATTCATCTTCCACGAATGGCTTGTCGGTAATGTAGTGGATTTGTACATAGGATATAGCGTCTTCATCATTTAAATGCACAATCCACGTGTAGTATTTACGGGTCTAGAAAACGTGAAATTCGAATAGAATACCAAACGTGGCTGCACCTCCCGTCGTGCTAATTTGCGCTGGTGCATATGGACGGATTGAAGTTGATTAGGGTGACGAACGCAGACATCGGAATGTGAGTGAAAAATATTTACGAAGGCTCACAGGTAGCGGAGGATAATTAAGTAATAGTGATGGTATTGGTAAGGAATACTGTATCATGGTGTTTCACGTGCCTCAGATTTTCTTGGTCACTAATGCCTTGATTTCCCACGTTTACAGTCCGCGTATGCCGCGGCAGCCTTGAAAGTCCTCTATGTCGTTTGCTGCCAGTTATGCTCAACTGCGGTCATTCATTCAGCACTGCAAGCGTTCTCAGCTTGACGCGTTGATAAAATTTACCAATCTTCCTCGTGGAGGACTGAAACCGGACTTACAACTCAGATTATTGTCTTATCTTGATGGAGCCCCAAACCCTGTATTTATTTCTGCTTTGAATGATTTAATACGACGAACGCAAAACGTCGAAAGTAAGCTGCACTTGAGTTTTTGTTCCATGCTGAAGCCTTGTGTTAGGTTTCAATTTTCTATGTAGGCGTTATTTACCGAATTGAGTGGGCAACCATTAGTATCGTCGCTAATCGTCAGAGCTTGATATCGCTCAGAGTTAAATGTATGAAATTCCCTATTCGAAACGAGTTTTGACTTTTCGACCACCTTCTTCTAAGCCTAAGCAACCTGGCAGGATGCTGGCCATTGTGTGCCTCATTTGATATGTA